TGTCAGAAACGACAGAAGAGGGAGTAGAAAGAGCAGAGTTAGAAGGGGAAGACTCCAGAAGCTCCTGGTAGTGATGGTCGTGTTCCGGAGGAGATGAGTTGCCGTGGCTGTGATGGCCATGGTAAGAAGCAGCAGAAATTGAATTCGCGGCTGAATTGTGTGATGGAGGATTGAAAGGAGGCAATGGAGCATGCCTAGGACCAGCCGAATGACCCCTGTGCACCCAGCATGCGAGACAAGCATTTAAGCCGGAAGAAATAACTTGTGCTTCCCAGGGATGCCAGTGCACATCGCGTATGGGATAGTTGCGCTCAAAATTGCGACAAGCCTGCATTTATCAATAAAAGTGGAGCATAAAAGGAAAGCGTGGGAGCAGGCAGAGTCAAAAAAAGTAAATAAACTTTAAAAAAATTAAAATTAGATTGACCTCGTTGTCGCAACTTAGTCTTGTTATCAGAGCGACTTAGTAGAAAGCACCTAGTCCGAAGTCGTCTGACATAGTAGTTGTCATGACTCCCAGCATCAGAGGGTGGACTTGGTACATTCTCAAACGTTTCGCCGGCATCATCAGTGAGTCTTGCCATTCTCCGCGCCAAGCTAGGAACTCATCAAAGAGAAAAGTGAAGTCAATGCCTCGGCAAACTTTCTGCCGAAAACGGTCACACTATCACTCCTCTTTCTGTCCTGGCATATCCATCTACTCTCTACACTCTTATCCCACTGCCGCCCTATCACGACTTCCCACTTATTTACATTCCACTCGTCAAAATGTGTGCCCTTTTGTGGCAAATATAGTGTGGTCTCATCACACTTGCTGTTCACTCCGACTCCTCACTTTCGATCGGCTGATCCGATTAGGGCCTCCAATCCGGATCTCCTCATTGTCTCGTAGATCCATTCTTTTTCTTTCTGATTGAGCGATTTCACTCGGTTCAGGTCCCAGCGGGCATTTCATTTCAGGCGCTATTTCTCAAGGTCCTAGAAGCACGTACACTGCCGCCTTACTGAGCGGAGCGCATGAACTCTGATTGCCATACTTGCAGATATCAGGCCTTCCCTTCACGGGTCATCTCCTTAATTAAACCTGTGTAACCAGAGCAAACTGTGGACACCTATCTCTGGTCGCATGCGGCATCTCAAGTTGATTTTTAGTACATTTTGAGCATAATGCCGAATAAAAAAAAAAATTAGTCTAACCGTTATCGTTATGCAGGTAAATTATGCACACACAGAAGAAACCTCAACACTGAAACCCTTCGATCTACTTTTCACAGATTAATTTAATGTCCGCCATGGAGTAAGCATAGAGGGCATTTATGAGGGTTATTAAGATCAATAGAACTTTGACGTTTGTATTTAAAGGTTGTTTGACCTTGTTTTTGCAACTTGGTCATGCTGGTAGGAAGACTTAGAGGAACGCACCTGGTCCGGAGTCCATTGTATGCATGATCATTTCCAAATTTGGACCGTGGACGTGGTACAACCCAGACGTTTCACCGGCATCGTCAATGAGTCTCGCCATTCTTAGCACCACACAACAACTCGTCAAAGAGACAAGTGAAGCCAATCCTTTGACCAAACGTGTGCTAAACACTTGTGGTATCTGCCCTGGGCTATTCATATTTCCTATATCCTCCTATCATGCCTTCACTGTTACACCTTTTTACCGTGCTTATTGAGATGTAGTGTAGAGTGCTCCTTTCGGCATTCATGAAAACCCTTCACACTCCACACTGTCGTTATCACCCCCTTCACCCTTGTGCTGGGAATGTTGATCAGAGTCTGCCATATTATTACACAGTCCTCCTTCCCTAGGTCTTATCACAGTCTCTCTCTTTTGCATTGTAAGATCCGTCTGCTCTCTCCCTGGTTCACGTATTTCACTCGACCCCTGCCCTCCCATCTGTGCTACTCAAAGCGTTGTTTGCCCTCCCCTGCGTCTGGGTGACTAATTCAAGGCGAAACCCTCTGAGTAAGTCTCATCGTCACGCCTTTGCTACATGGACCACATCTCTGGTAGAACCTACTGTAAGCTAACCAGCTCCAATTGCCGCCTCGTCTATCCTGTATCTATCCCTAATACCAAGTCTATGACTTCCAATGCCCTAGTCTCTTGTGTGCCAACCCACAAATGTGGTGGTACAGCTTGCGTTGATTAGGTTTAATGTTGAACCACAACGTTTGTGGGTTGGCATACAAGAGACTAGGGCATGGGAAATCAAAGACTTGGTATTAGGGATAGAAACAGAATAGGCGCGGCGGAGACTGGAGCTAGTTGGCTGACATTAGGTTTTACCAGAGACGTGGTCCATGCAGCAAAGGCGTGACGATGAGACTTACTCAGAGGCTTTAGCCTCGTATTAGTCACCCAGACGCGAAAACAAGGTCAAACAATCTCTATACAACGAAAGGAGA